CATCTTCCGTAGTAACCGCCGGCTCTATATTGTCACTAGCTACCATGGACTACGGAGGATGGCACCCAGGCCAGAGCCTCCCCGGAGGTGATTTTTTCTAGAACAGGCGAAAATCAATGCGCGCGTGGATGTCATCCATGCAATTGAATCAGTGTGGCCTAATAGCTAAACGTGACTTGATGACAACAGCGCCAGACATCAATGTAAACGACTTCGTGACTGTGCAACACTTCTTCTCAGATCTTCCTCATAACAATTTCCCTGTTTTATTACCAGGGTGTCTGTATCTGTATACCCGGTATAACCGCCCTTCGGCGTAACACACTAGCTTCGCAGGCACGCGGCGCGGCGGCAGCTGGCTGTATCACACCGAACGACTTGTTACACTCAATCTTTGCACATTTAATTGCAGGAGCTGTTTTAAGCTTTCTAGTGATGATGCCCGAACTGTGCTTGGTGGCAACGAGTTCCATTCTACGGTAGTTCTGGGGAAATACGAGTTTTTGAACACCTCAATTCTTGGTTGATAACTCTGATATTTGAAGGCATGGCTGTTTCTTGTTCTCTTCTGGGCTAGGTGTCTGCCAATTTGTACCCTGCGGGGTATTGTTTGGTACAAGAATTTGCAATCATAGCTGCAACACTGTGTATAATTTACGGTGTTTTTTAATTGCTTGGTATAGTTGTAGCGTATTTGTATTTATTGGCGATGAAACAAGACATTACAATGGTCAATTAAGAAAGGCAGACAAAACTGTTAAAGGCTTACCTAAAATAATTGAATAGACGCAATACAAGATGATTAAGAAAATTAGTATCCAAGATAAAATATAAATCCTGCAATGAAAGGAATATACGTTTCTATCGTAAAACTGCTTACTCTCCAAGCAGAGGTTTGGTCTTCGGTTTATTTTTGAGGTCTTTTGGGAGTTTTTGTCTGGCTTTCATTTTTTGTACTGGTATTCCTTCTTGACCTGTTTTTGTACGATATAATATACATAGCTAGTATTTTTTAATACTTTTCTTCAGATATTTGTGTGGTAATTTGATACTGCTCCACTGGTTTCATACTGTCTTTCTAGTTCGATACAAACATACATACATACATACATACATACATACATACATACATACATACATACATTAGCGGCCTATCAGCTCTATGCCAGCAACTCTCCGGTTCTCTCTGTCTAACATGACATTTCCTAATTATTCGAGTTCTATGCTAGTGTCTCTAGTTAATGTATCGGTAAAAGTCAGAGTTCTACAATGTACTCGACCTCTTTGCTTCCAGAGAAGGACAGAAGAAACGATTTCCTGCTTAGCTCTATAATAATGTCCTGCAAAGTTTACCCTGCGGTGGGTGAGTTTTTGAGACAGCCTCGGAAGGCCCCCTTAGTTCGGTTCTGTCCTGTGGCCACCCGAAGGTCTGCTTGGAAAATATAATTTACAGGGTTTGTTTTATAATCGTTTTCCCTATATTCTTAATACCAGCTTTGGACATTTAAATGAAGTAGAAAAATTCATATTTCTTATGAAATTTTCTATAACTGCGTCAAGAAGCGAGAACAATTTGAACATGTAAATAGTAGATCACATTAGTATGTATTGTTTAAGTGTCATTGCTGTATGCTTTCCCTTGTCTATTCATGACCTGTACTTTGCTTGTTATAGCACAAACGTATAATAAAGGTCTTTCATTCATTTATTGTTCCCACCCTCTCTATAGAATTAACATCCTATACGTAACATACACATGCATAGCATGTTCACGCATACAAAGCCAACAATAGATTGAACACGTCTTGCTTTCATATCCATACAATCCCTGTTGCTATTCAGTGGTTCAAAGCACATATTGACATCATGATAAACAGTGAGATTTGTATACTGAGGCTACATAATGTGTATTCGTGAATATGCAGAAAACTGCAATATATATAGCCTCTACCAGGTACCGCGGATCGCTGGAAAAATAATAGAAATTGGTCGAAATAAAGGGATAGTATACCATACAAGATCCCGGGCCATAGAAGACCCAAGTGGGTCGCGAATTGGTTCATCACATTGGCCTGATATTCTCCGGTATACTATCTCTTTACTACGGCCAATTTCTACTATTTTTCCAGCTATCCGCGGTGCCTGGTAGAGGCTACGATATATATAAAGGGCTGCTGAAACGAAATAGCAGTAACAGCGGCACATTTGGTTTGCATGACTCCCCTATCTGCCCTATTGATCATGTGAGGTCTCAGGGTTTGGTTGGATTTTGAGAGGCGTCAGGGGGTTTAGACCTTGCGTGATCCCGGCCTATTGTATCTAGAAATGTGCATATATCTAGAATGGGTAAAGCTCCTGTAACACATAGCCTAAAATGACCTTCCGAACGTGTGGTCGTGTCAGTGGCGTAAGGGTAGAGTGTTCGGCACAGACCAAGAGGTCCCAGGTTCGAATTGTTCTGGATACGGACTATCCAGAACTCAGCCTGAGTTAATAGGTGACAAAACACCTGCCACGGCACCCGTTAACAGGTGACAAAATACCTGCCATGCCATCTGTTAACAGATGACAAAACACCTGCCAGGGCATCTGTTAACAGGCGACAAAACACCTGCCACGGCATCTGTTAACAGGTGACAAAACACCTGCCACGGCATCTGTTAACAGGTGACAAAACACCTGCCACGGCATCTGTTAACAGGTGACAAAACATCTACCACGGCATCTGTTAACAGGTGACAAAACACCTGCCACGGCATCTGTTAACAGGTGACAAAACACCTGCCATGCCATCTGTTAACAGGTGACAAAACACCTGCTATGCCATACGTTAACAGGTGACAAAACACCTGTCATGACATAAGTTAACAGTTGACAAAACACTTGCTATGCCATCTGTTAACAGGTGACAAAACACCTGCCATGCCATAAGATAACAGCTGACAAAACACCTGACATGCCATAAGTTAACAGGTGACAAAACACCTGCCATGCCATAAGATAACAGCTGACAAAACACCTGCCATGCCATAAGTTAACAGGTGACAAAACACCTGCTATGCCATCTGGTAACAGGTGACAAAACACCAAAACAACCACTTTTTTTTATTATTCACCACTTGTTATGGCTTGATAACTGAAAATGGAGGCTTCTTATTGGTCGATGTCGCCTACTACATGATAATACACAATGAAGAAAGCATTAATATAAACACCCTAGCATGTCCTGTAGCGAGGGAATGTTTTCTCTCTGTAAATACTCGTGAAAATCTTTATTTCCAAAGTTATTGTTGAGCTAAAATCACCCTCTATCCGCCTCTGTGTAACATGCCTTGTACTGACGTCAACTTCGCGTGCGAGCTAACATTATGGTACTGCTACCTGAGGTCTCATCTTACAATAGTGCCGATTTTTAGTCTTTGAAAACCCGCTAAGAACAGGTTTATGCCGTGACGTCAACTTCTTACCAAACCAATTACGTAGTGCATTTTTATTCAAAACATGTAGTGACAAGACGTGGTGGCGGCACACTCAAGTTACACTTATATTCATGTCGCCACCAGACAATACGTAGTACATAAGACAACCAAAGCAAGAATTAACATTTGAAAATAAATACAATAATTATTCAATGAACAAGTGAAACAAATATATATATACTAACAGGACTGATCAAGATATTACAAAAAGCGATTGGATTCTAACAAAAATGTCTGTACATGTAGTAATATTTGAATATTATACGTTGTTGAGAAAACGTCCAAAGTAAATGTACCAGAATATCATCTGAAAGATCATCCAATTCAGTAATAAAGCCAATTAGTGTTTTCAAGCTGCCAAAAAAGGGTATTTCACTGTTGAGTGTAGTTGGGGGAGTGTAACAATAAGTGAGTGCAATTTGAGTTCTTACTAGAACGTGTGGCCCAAATTAGAATCCAACGTGACGCATTATACAGGGGTTCTATATACCAATCGGAAATGTATAGACTATTGAGATTGTATTATGTATAGACGAAGACGTGCTTTTTCAATTATACGGTGTATCCGGTATATCAGATAACCATATCAGAATGCGCCAGATTTTTTCATCAATGTTGACAAAACACATTCCTGCACCATGACGTAATAACATTCTATATGTGCTCAATGTTTGTTTTTTGCGTCACCGGATGTGATACTTGTATATGTGTGATACTTGTGTATGTGAGAAGTACATTGCTAATGTAATTAAAACGTTCTAAACGTTGTACGGTCACTATCTTTGATTCTTCTTAATTTATAGGAATAGAAGGAGTTTTAAATCGTTTAATTAATAGATTAAATCTTGGTTAAAAAAGAAAAAAAGAATTAATGTTACGGAAAAGGTGTGTCGAGATGCCTCATTTTTCCTACATAATTGTATACATCATTCATCTTCCGTCAACGGAATCTTTTTTTCAGAATTTGCATCAAACGGCCAGTAGAAGCTGCAACAACCTGTGATAATGAAAACATTCCTACCTATAGAATGTGCCATTGTTCCTCCGGTTCTTCTTTGAAAGCTAGGCGGGGAGTTGTAGCGTTTTTTTTCCGGCATCGCAACAGTCAGCCGCTGCGGCGTTCTCTACCGTACGGTTCTGACAGCCGAGGCCCACTTCTCGACAATACCTACATGTAAGCCTGGTATCCAGTCTTACGTGATTGGGGGTATTGGGGTGTTCAGGCAGGTTGTGTCTTCGGGGGCTGTAATAGCTTCCCCCGGTCCGGTAGGAGAGTTACGCTAATCAGAGACAGTATGCTTGGGGATTTGGTCCCCCCCCCCCCCCAACAATCTCTCGTGAAATACACACCGGGAAACCTATGTGAGGCGGGCGGGCCAGAGCTCTTACGGCCCCGACCACGATCAGACTGGATACCAGGCTAACATGTACATGTACGCAGCTTTGTTGTTATGTTGTGAGAGAGAAATTTACCGTGCTGCTACACATCTCTAACAGTCAGATGTCTGACCGTTTGTTCAGGGCGTTTAAGAAAGACACAGACGAGAAGGGGCTGGTGACGCACGATGAGGCGCAGGCTCAGCACGAGGAGGACCACCCGGAGCTGGCCAACCTGCCACCGGGAGAGGACGAGAAACGCCCCGGGCCCTGCGACCGGACTCCGTGCGCCAACTTAACGAAACGATATCAGGTACACTTTGGTTTATAACGGCATGGTCTAGATAGGAAAATATATCAGAGACGATGCAAATTCCCCAAATGATTGTAAAAGCTCCATACAACACACTATATAGAACCGTAGTTATGTATCTGTAACAGTACTGTTGTGCAATAGATGAATATATAATATTAGTCTTCCTTTGCGTACAGTTGGCAATTGTAAGATTCAAGTGCCGCATATGTAGTGCAATTCTGACAGTCACTACTTTACAGAGATCGCGATTGCTACCATTTATTGTTTATATTTATATTATAGATATATATAATATATATTATAGAACTGTTTATATATATATATCTAATACCACCAAAAATGTACAGAATGTACTACAAGGGTGTGGACAAAGTAGACGTGAATGGCTTTTGTCTGTTTTCAAACCACGGTTCAATGGCCATTGTATCTATCGAAAAGAATCGCTGGGACGGTATTTTTAACGGAACACTGCACATGTAGCTTCGTTCTTCTTGCAATTGTTACCATCGGTTGACGATGGACAATAGCATTCTGTAAGATAGGACTGGATTGAAACCCAGAATGCGGAAAGGCGACAGCAGGATGTAACTGTGTAAGCATTCTTGTTCTTCTAGCTATACGAACCATTGCGAATAGAAACATTTTAACGGCGATTCTGTGTGTGGAAGTGACAGTACCGATATATTTTTCCTTTCTCTTCACAGATCGCAATTCTGTCGTGTATTGGGTTCATAATTTCGTTCGGTATTCGTTGTAACATGGGCGTGGCGGTGGTGGACATGACCAACAACGTCACCGTGCATGTGGGAGAAGGGGAGAAGCCACACATCCAGGTGAGAATGACCTCTGACCTCAACGCCATCTTGGTTTTGGCCGCCATCTTGTTTTAGGCCACGAAATCTTGTTGTCATGTTTTGAACATGTTTTGAGTTGAAAACCGTTTAATGAACAATGTTTTTAAAAGTTCTAAATAGTGCCTCAATTCGTCCATGTTCAGTTTTCTCTAGAGAAACACCATATACAGGAAAAGCCTAACTAAGTATGTTTTTAAACATAAAAAAACAACATTTAAAAGAAACATATGTACCTGAATTATATGTATCCCATATTTGAAAACAGCATGACACATTGAAACACCAGGCCAGACATTGTTGTTTCGTTTCGTTTATTGTTGTGTTCTGGCAGGTCACATATAAGTTCTTTGTTGTATTGCTTGGGTACAACATGAGATATGACAAGTGCTAAAATCTTTCCTACTTTGTATCTTTGTAATCATACTACATTCGCAGACATATAACATAATATTGTTTTTTCTCCGTTTACACACGGCTGTCTTCGTAGTAACTAGTGCTGTAGCAGACACACCGTTGTGTTGGATTTCATTATGTAGCAAGTGGCAGAACAGAACTGAGTTTTCCTGGCTGGTCACCATATAAATGTGTTTGAGTAAGAATAAACAGAACAGTAGTGTTTTGAGCTAGACAAGCCCCAATGTGAAGGAAAAACATTGCGAGATTGGCAAATGTTACCTTTCTGGTTATGATCATCATAATGATAATGATATCGGTGGTATATTTTTGTTTTCTCCGTCAGAGGGCCGAGTTCCACTGGACACCGGAAGCCATCGGCATCATCCACGGCTCCTTCTTCTGGGGATACATCGTCACTCAGATTCCGGGCGGTTACCTAGCAACTAGATTTCCCGCCAACAGGTAGGACCCGTTGCCTAGCAACGCCGCCATGCTTGAGTGAATGTGTCAAATCTTGTGTTTTTAATTGGGGTATAACAAAATAAAAAAAGGAGGAAAACTAGACAGAAGAGACAAGAGATTTCTTAATCATTTTCTTTTTTTTTTAACTTTTCGACGTGAAAGAGGACAGAAAAAGGATGTCAAGACACAGGTTACTGTCCAAGTGCTCCCACCAAGCCACAACTTGACACATCAAAATAAAATAGATACATAATACGGCAGACATCTCACAACGAAATACTGATACGACGAGAGGGGGACAGGGGGTTAAAACCGCAAGTGCAGCCCCCCCCCCC